TGGAGCATTTTGATCTGCCCTGCCAGTACGCATGTTGGTTTTCTACTTAAGATGATTACTGAGTTGTACCCGCAAGAACTACGCAAGTCAAACTGATGGGACTAGTGTGACGTTCTGCACGCTGGTCAATCATCAACGACACGAATCCGGACCACTTGTGAAGGCGCCTCTGTCCGGTTCGAATTTGAAATGGACGTCTCTCGTGCACTGTTGTCCCAACTGGTTAAGAAGATTAAAGCTTGAATTATTGACCTCCCATGTCGAAGCGGAGTGTTGGTAAACCTGCTTGCTTTCGCTTGAACGTTCAAGCGTCAGTCTGCCATGCACTGTCTACGCTCTAGCCTTAAAATGGAGATCTACTATTCGTGTATACTTTCCGCTCTCACTCCAATGTATTCGGTGTAATTCCTGCGTCCGCTTAAGTCTGTTTATTTAAATGTGTGTGTAGTGGCATATCAAGGTGGAATAGCTGTGAAAATATGTCCGTTGGACAGTCGCTTGAATAGGTCTGGTTCTCATTCACATTACAACCGGCTTAGAATAGCCGGCTTCCAACTGTCGTTCACACCACTGTTTTGGTAGACGTTGTACGTTGTTATCCGCGTCGACTATCCTCGCGAATGTTTCTTTCAAAGTGGGCAGCAGTCGGAGGTGGTAGGGTGCCTACGTTCATTGAGCGAAGTGAATTCCTGCATGATTGTATACTTGAAAACACGACCTTTTACTAGTCTCATAAGTCTGACAGAACTCGGAAGCTGGCGTGTCGCGCTTTCGATTCGTTAACATGAATCCAAGAATCACCTGGGATATTTCGGCATCCAGCTGATGCCGATTCTGCAGCTTCCGATTTCTGTCTTCATAGTGTACATAGTTTTTCCCTATATAGGAGTTTGAAAGTTGTTCGTCATTTGAACGACACAGCGCCTCCATAAACGAGCCGAAATAAACTGAGGCTGGGAAAAATAGGGTCCAGGCAGTACAACTGACATAGGACGGTATGATTTAGGCCCTCTGTTTTGTATCCGAAATCCAATAAGAAGTCAGAAAGTTCAGCTAAGTTTTGTTGCCTTCCACAAGCTTGTCTTCTCCCGTGGTGCATCTTTTGGGGCTCATCTAGTAGCACCACATGTTAGCCTATTATTCAGTACACTTTCTGTCACTCGTCACTTAGCAAGATGACGAATGGTACACAATTTCACGTACAACTCATACATTAGGGGGCCGGGCACACCAACCCGATTGCTTTGGTACATTTCCTCTCTCTGTAATCTCCACTATCGTTTCGAACAATAAAATCCCAAAATGAGTGCAGAATCCCGACCTTAATGTCGAATCGCTGTTTCGTGAGATGACTTTTCCCTATATATATATATATATATATATATATATATATATATATATATATATATATATATATATATATATATATGTCTGCAGGTCAGTCTGATAACCACTAGGAGAACTTTTTTCATTTGGTGTATTTTGCGAACACATTGGGCTGTATCTCCTGTCTATAAAGATTCTCGATTAGAAACTCCACTTTGTCGTTCACCTAGGAGATGAGACTAATAGGAATTGATAGCCAGGTTCAAGTAAAGATCTTCCAGAGAGGCAAAACCTGTAGTAGGCTCTGCAGAAGCTCCCAGCAGTTATGATTGGGTCAAAAGTACTTCGATATCTTTGTTCCAACGAATAACAAATAATAGTAGTAATCGCTCAGCTATAATACCTTTTCGATACTGAGCTGCCCGAAGGAAGTACGAAATCTGGGATACTGTCAGGTTGTCCAAGCATAGACAGGAGCAGTCGAGATACGGCGTTTGGATTTGTGTCACGAACTTTCCGGTCAGTAGGTTCGCGCCTTAACCGCTGAGCTGTCTCGACCTCTTGTAAACGAGTGGCTCAGGCGATACTGTTTTGGGTCTCCTTCTGACATCAGGTCACTTCATATCTGAGTGTATAAATCCCCTTATGAATACTCCGATGTTCAAGTAGAAAATAGGGTCGGTAGAACCCCAGGCCCTCCATTTTAAGTCCCAAGAAGTTGGCTATCGAAATGTTTTTAAGCAAGCTTATAAGTAGTGTTAGATCGAGGAAATTATTTCCATATCCGGCTAAAACAAGTGTCGGCCTCTGTATTGATATTTGGTCGAATCTCCCACTTGCGTCAAGCATACTAAAGTCGGTTGGACGTTTCTTTAGGAGGACGTAGGATATCTAGGTTCAGGAGCCTTAAGATTGGTTCTTGAAGTGACCACAAAGATCTGGATAAGCGCAGTCTGTTTACCTGCCTGAATCTAGGTTGTTATGTTAAAGGCTGATAAACTGAACGCACTGCGAGGGTTCAATATGTACACTCATAGTGATGATGTCGGTTGTTATGACCTGTTGATGAAATCGAAACTAACGTCACCGTTGACCCTTCCTAACTTTGGACTGATTGGGAGATTTAAGTAGGGATGGGAGGGCAGCGAAGTTGCGTTTGAAGGAGTTGAAGAAATCGATGGTGAGGAAGTGGTCAAATTAAGGGGTGTATGCATAATTCCATCGTGTTCTGTGTTTAGTAACGTTTTTCCTCTAGTGTTCAGATTTTTAGACCTTGTCTGATCAGTTATCTTTGAGCAGACAGTTTTGGCGTTTAAAGCATGTGATTGGCGTTATCATTTGGTTGCCTGGACAACACTCAGTTTTCGAACGTAAATACGAGGACTTCTGCCCTATCCTATTCGGGAATCTTGATTATTGTTTGCTTGGGCGTCCGACCGAGCTTGTTCCGGTAAAGGAGATAACAGAAGTCGACCGGGTCCATTGTTCCCTTGTACATTTTACCATCACGTACACTGAAACAGATTTACGGCCGATCATACAGACAAATCTAAGCCAACTGTTGTCTGTCGTTAGTTCCGCGCCAGGGAAACGGATTACAGATAGACGCTCAATCCAGACCGATCGTTACTGTAGGCGTTATATTCTAAACTCAGTGTGGGTTCTCCTTTTTTGACAATTGTCCTGGATCATGTCTGTCGGTGTCGCTAATCCCTGATGTGTGTCCTGTCGATGTCCACTTCTGGATATAAGGTATTTGCTAGCCGGATTCAGTGTGCTGGTCGAAACTTCCATGCTTTGTTGTCAAGTCAGAGGCTGCTATCCTTTGAGTCGTGCCGATTGTGTACATAACTAGGTTGGCGGCACGGTTGCGTTGAGTGGCGGTAGATCTGTTCGCCGAGCTTGGCAATTCACTTACAAACGCTTCATCGTCATTCGAGTTGGTGACGATCGTCAGTGCGCGATTGGATGGGTATTTCTTTTTTCTTGCTTGCGTCTATATAGATCTTAAAGAGCATCTTATGTCCCAACTTGAAGTCATGCTTTAAATTCACGTTACCCGTGGTCGAATTAGTTCGCACGCGGGGCGAACAACTTATGACTTTATAGAATTGTATAAAGAGAGTTGTTAGTGAAATCCGCTTTCCGCGATGGGGCCCTTGTGACCACCGGTGCGTTAGCCTGAGGATACTGCAAGAAATAGTAGCTAATCGATGTCTGTGGCGTTCGTGCTTTCGGTTGTCTGATCGAGCGCTTGGTGATGTGGACATGTCAGATAACTCATGGAAAGCTAGCATTAGGACCCGCCCAATTTTTTCTCACTTTAAGGATTTATATACATGAGTAAATAAGCTTTGTGTTTGTACGGTAGTGAAGCATCACTAATGTGTTGTGGTCTGCCTTCCCGACCATCTAACAGTTTATTTGTTCACTTACCATTTTTAGTCGCTTTCGTTCTTCACTCTGATTGGTCCGTTCATAATTTCCCCTGTGATTAGTTAATTTCCACATCTCTTTTGACAGTTTATGCTCTTTGGCTTGCTAGTACTTGTTCTGTTTGTTGTTAGGAGTTGCACCTTCCGGTTCAATTAATTTATCCCGTGAATGTATGGGTTTCTTCGTTGGCTCCTCGTGCACCTCAGAATTCGATACATCTTGAGTTCTTTTAGCCTCAGAGATTATCAGAAAAGATCCTTGTCCCTCCGCGTGTTTATCGCCTTTTCAGTGGGGCACTAATCCATGAATTCGCCGTTCTTTCTACTTGTTCGACCCAATACTGTCACTGTTCCAGCTCTGCTCGCGTGTAGGGAAGCAACTGAGAATTGTTGTGCCTTTAGTGACAGGTTTGTGCTCATTTATTCTGGTTGGTAGGTGTCTGTCCGTCTTTCCCACACAGTGTTTCTTGCAATATGTGAACCGAACTTTGTAGATGACATTGATCTTTTCATTTATGTCTGATTTTCTTTTTGGTTCTGACACTTTCCATCTCAGTACGTTTGTAAGCCGCTATTTTATCATGTTGTAGTGGTCATTTCGGAAATGTCTAGAAGTGTACTTCTTTTGCTTCGTTTGCTGGCTGGTTGATTTGCATTCCCTCAGAAAACTCCAAATGAAATTTCCTGGGTAACATTTCCTCGGAATATTTTGTGTAGGTGCTTCTCCCATTTCACCTTGAATTCCACTATATTGCATTGTGTCACAATCAGCTTACACAGTGTTCGTAAGCAGAACTGTTTGTGGCAGTTCGGATCGTTTCTGTGATAGTTCATAAATTAGTCTGGGTGGGTCGCCTTTCCGTTCACCTCCATTTATAGTCGTCTGTCAGGTAATTGCTAGTCTACCATCGCCTTTCGTCTTGAAGTTGATGTCATCGATTGTCACAGAAGTATCATTCAGCTAACCCACCCACAATTTTGAATTGGTTTCTGGTAATGCGATCCACTCCAAGGTCGAGGGAGAGAAGCGATTACCCGTGATTTCTGAGAAGTCAAATCAGTAACCAGAAAGAATAGGGGAAATACCCGACCATTTGTGGATTGGCGATGTTTCCTCGATTGGGACGAAACAAAGCCCGTCGAACATATCAACCGCCAGGTGACTAGCAACCGCATAAAATAGGGTTCAGACCTCCCGAAGGAAGCACGAGGGCCAGGATACTGTCAGGTCGCCCAAGCCTAGACAGGATCAGTTGAGGTGGCGAGGTTGGGTTCGAACCACGGACTTTCTAGTCCGCAAGTTCGCGCCTTAACCACTGAGCAACTACATAAATAGGTGAAAGCAGCGAAGTACACTCAGTTTGGTCTCAACGAGAGGTTCAGCCGGCATTCGTTTGAGTCCCTCTCGTTACAATCTAATTGGCGTGTAATGAGTGTGTTTCGCTTGCGAATTTTGTACAGTTTGGATTCAATTAGGACACAAGGTTGCTGGAAACTACGGAGACTGTCTCTCCCTAGTGAGTCGCAAGAGGGGAGAAACTGGTCGGGGGTTGTCAACGGATTTCCATCAGTCTTGTGAGAATCTTCCTTCGGATGAAAACGGTCTTTAAAGATGGCACTTTCTATGAAATCCTGGGGTTAGTCAACGTAATCTAGCACGTCAATCAATGGGTAGTTGATCATTTCAAGACCTCTTGTTCTCACCAAACACGAGCGATGATTTAGTGACATCGATGGGTGAGCTCCGTAAGCTCCTTGTCTTTCGTGTGCAGCGGACTCAAACTCTAAGGTTCTGATTACTATGGTGTTGCCGAATCTTTCATTCGCTGGTAAACTGATGTCACATCAACATCAGTTTTTGAATTGAACATAACGGCTAACTCTTTGAATGGGCAAATCTGTCCCTGTTCAATCATTTTATTGTTTAGAGAGTCGACGAATACCCTGCACAATTAATCGTGGTGGGATATCTGGTGTCTGCGAGTGATTACGTGACATTCGGCATAATTAGCCGCCGATCAATAAACCAATTCAAAAAATCTTACCACTTGTCAAAACGAGATCGGTTAGATCACTAGACGAGAACAATACGACAGCATGGTTTGCGCTAACCAACCTAGATTCCATTCTGACGGAAAAGTCTAGAGACGTATTACTGCATAAATTAGGTCACTTATTGGTCCTTCGGATGAACGAATTCGAAGCCGAGTCGTGAACATTCCACGTAATTCGAGTTCGCGAGAACTAGCGGACATATTTGGTTTGTTTTACCCAACCCACTCAAATATGGACACGTTAAGAGTGCAACGTATAGAGTTTATTTTGAAACTTATGGACATGAGGTTCAATAACGTGACACCACTACTCGAAGGGCATATTTCCCCAGCAGACCCATCAGTAGTGCAGCGAGCGCTTCGCGTCGTGGACTGTTCATAGTTGTTATTCTAATGTACTTACTCTTCATTGCGTAACATTCTAGTGTGTTGTGGCAGCCATAAACGTTGGAGTGATGTAATTTATTGGCGGATGTTTGATTTAACAGTTGTTCAATACAAACGTCAGTTTAACGGAAGTAACATAACAAAATACAGCACAGTATACAGAGTGCATGTAGTGTTGCTCACCATAGCGGGGCTGGAGAATGCAGACCGATACATTGGACAGGAGGAGCGGTTCTGGCCAATCGAAATCCGACAGTCAACCTGCGAAAGTTCCGTTTGACGAATTGGATGAGCTAATCGGTGCACACTCCCACCGTTAGAATCTGGTTTCGAAAGAGAATGACCAGTGTGGGCCATCAAGCTCTCAGTTGGAAGTCAAGGTCGAAAATCTCTTACTGAAAATAACAACGGCAAGAGCATGGAAAGAACTTCAGGGGGTCGCTGCAGTATGGGATCCTTCGACGATTTTGTCTTCGTTTTCCAAGAACTTGGTTGAAGTTGCAATGCAAACAGTGCCCTTACCAATACAACGAAACATCACCAGTTACCAACCCCAACTTTCCTGCAATCTGCGAAAGTTTCAGACGCGCCACCCTGTGAATCAATGCTTCTCGTTTGCTATGCGGCACACATCCAACATCGTCAACTCTAATTGTTGGGGCACGTTCCTCGTTGTCCACATAATCAAACTTTTCTTGCATTAAATCCGCACCCAGTGTGGCGTTGTCGTCGAAGTGACCAGCTGAAAATTTGGTTGGATGACTAGACCCTGAGGCTGCATATAGCCCATGCAAGTAGAGTTCACGTTGATTCAGTGTCTATGACAGCTTTACCACCAACTACTGTTCTTGGTTAGCTGTGATTCTAGGCACCCAAGAAGCCGGTTCATCCTCCACTGGACTCAGCAGATAATTTTGGAGAGGGCACATCGTAGTATCGCGAGTTGGGATCTTTTGTGGCAGGCTTTGCAGACTCTGATTTGTCACCTTTCCGTACAACTCCGAAGAAGAAAGTTTGAGCAGTGCCTCATCTTTGTGCATATCTTCGGAGTCCCGTCTTGCAGCAAACATACAGTGGCTGGACGTTTCAGCGAAGCTCACCCAAATCAGGAGTATTAATGTGGTTTTCCCGAAGAAAAAATTCATGGTCGAGAAATAGGTCATGGCGCTCGAAACCTATCACTGTCGTCAGTTTTGAGTAGTGCTATTCGATTTGGTGCACAAGGGCGAGATTTATCTCTCTAGCGTTCGCTGAACGCCACTTATCGAGACATTAACTTTTTCCGTGGGCACTTTGATTGTTAGACAATTCGATGACCTGTAGCTATCCGTGTGCCACCTTGTGGCGCTTTCACTATCCCAACTTCAGTGCGCTATCGTTTTTTTTTCTGATGGTGGTATCCGTCGCAGGTGGGCTTAGGGATGCATCCTCTATAGTATAGCAATGTGCTTGAGCTGCTCATTTTCGGCTTTTTTTGAGACCTCTCTTCTCATGTCTCATTCAGTAAATATAATTCCATTTTCCCCAATCGGAGCGTAAGAGGTGATGATACAGTTTGCTAGCGATTTTAGTATTCAAGTTGCTGGAGAAATAGAGTAACGTGACAAATCCCAGCTGTATCAGCTTCTTGTCAACAGTCAGTCTCACTGCAGAGTACAATCCCCCCCCCCCGGTTTTCTTGCTTATCACTGGTCGTGATAATGAAACGGGTTTGTCAGTTGGTTTAGGAAGCAGTCTTTTGGCGTTCTCAATGGCTTACAGCAACCTTACTGTTCTGTCACTCCTGGTTCGGTCAAGTTTGACTCCACAAAATTACATGAGCTTATGTTGGCCAATGAAATTTAGACTATTCTAAAGCTGCTACCAAGTAAAGCTACCCCTGCTTCAATCTGTTTCTTTTCACAGCCAGTGTGAAGTATATGACACCAAACACTATGGGCTAAACACTTGCTGGTGCTGAATTTGCAGTGCGACGAAAGTAGCTGCGAGGAAATATCTGATGTCACAGGTAAAACATAAGGTTCACGGGAAATCGGGGGACCGCAACTACTTCACGAGCCCCTAGTAGGGCGGTCGTGGGCTGTAGAAGTTTTCAGCAGCCTTATATCAGTAAGCAGTTCAGGCAATCTGTTGCGACATCTCGCATATCGCGCCAACTGAAATATTTGGCAAATGGTACAGCACATTCAGTTAAAGCGGACCATTATAAGTAGGTGATTCAGCTGGATTCAGTTGATTCTCCAGTGGAAACCAGAATCGCGTGCTAGGTTTGTCGAAATCGGGCCCATTCAGGTTCAAATAGGACCTGAGGTTAATGGAAGTTCGGGGATTGCGCATACCTGATGAGCAGCCAAACCGGTCGGACTGTCTACCTTATGTGTAGAGTATTTGATGAGAGGTCCACACTAGTGTTCACGGGGGTTTTAACCATATTGTTGTGTTGTAATAGTTGTGAAGGTGATTCAGCCATTTGATATCCTGTGTAGCAATACGAGCTTACGACTTCAGCTGAGTCCTCTCACTAGGGGCTGTCATTTTCATTCCGTGTTATGGTCTGGAATAGATGGCAGACCCTGTTAACCTGAACATTTCATGGATGATCCAGAAGATAAGTTGGCGGCCCTTGTACGGAACCGCAAAGACCAGTGCGTTCGCCTTGCGTACATTCCGTGTTCACCTGTGCTATCGTTCACAGGTTGTTGAAATGCAGCCTGTCACTTCCGGGTGTATAAGAAAAGGTACACTTGCATAACTTTCCACGGAAAGCGGTCTGAAATGAGTAAAGGGGCGTTCGATTGGTCGATTCGGTGGGGTCATCATTAACATCAGAATAATGGCAAACTCTGTCATCCTAATGCGGGCGACTGTAGTCAATTCCGACCGCAGTAGATTTTAGCAATAAATTGGTGGCATCACATGAGAAGTATAGATTATCCCACATCGGTATTAGGAAGCTCGAGATAGCTCACTGGTTGTGGCGAGAACTTAACCTGGTTCGAACTCAACTTCAGCACTCTGACTGCTCCTGTCTAGACTTTGGAACTTGGTGTTACCTCCGACCTTGGGCTTTCTTCAGATTGCATGGGAGCTAAGCGGCTTAGTGGTGTTACAGCTGAACAATTTTCAGTATCGGCCGCAGATAATTTCAAACTCTTGAAATATGTATTCAAATTGTACTTATTCAAGTGGGATTTATTCTGTCTAGCTTGTGCGTCAAAATTTCTCAAGAACCGGGTTGCTACTGAATCGTCAGAACTGTACTTTTGTTTTTACAATCTTCGGAACAGCACGCGTTGTAGAGAAAGCAATTCTTCAGTAATTCTGTAGATAGAAGTTTGTAGAAGTTCTATTACACCAGGATTTAAGGCCGGTGCTGGTGAAAAGCATACTGTGTGTTGCGCTCTCCGGATATCAGTTCCCAGTGTTCTGCAGTGTGCCTGTAGAGTTTGCCTCTGCTTGCAAGTCACACATTCCTTCGTAATTTTGGTGAACAGTTGGATGATTGTACACATGGGTCCACAACACGTGACGAATGCGGAATCCGTGTCGGTGGACAGTGAAACCAAGTATGTGTAGGTTGTTCTTAGTCTTGTGTCTTTGTAGAACTCAAGCTCACAACAAAGGGAGGTGTATTTGTTGCTGTATGGGGTTCTTTGATAAAATGTAAAACATCGCCGTGTATAGATTTTCCACATTGGTTCCCTACTGATATTTCTCGCAAATGGTGTGGTTTATAATGGCATTGTCGCACTAGTCCACCTAGAACAATTGTAGTGCAGAATTCACAAGTGCAGGACAGCGTCTTTCACCTGCACTGATGCGCCGATGAACTATTGATCAGTCACCAATCTGAGACGAAGAAACTGGCGTATGCGCATTGTCAACGATGAATCGTAGCTGTCGAGTTTGGTCAGTTGGGATTCAGTCAAGTCTCCTGATAAAACCAACATGGTGTGCAAGCAAGTGCACTTGTCGGATTTCGTGCAATCTGGATTTAAGGAGACCTCGGGGGGGGGG